TAATATGATTTTTCTCTCCTGCTGAGGAGGCCTCCGTCTAGGCTTATCACTGTCACAAACGCTGCCTTCGTGTGTGCACAAGTGTGATCCAGGCAGAGTCGCCCCTGGCATGACTCCTGGGCTGACTTGATCAGGCTTCTCTCTTCGGTGGAACTTTCTGAGGATTCCCTCATGCTGAGCTCTTCTCCACTGGGTCACTTCCCAAATGCATACAATGGACAGGGCTGGAACAGGCCAAAGTCAGGAACTCATTCCAGGTCTCTCACCTGGTGATAGGTACCAACCACTTGAGCTATGATATACTTCACAAAACGTGCATCAGCAGGAAGCTAGAGTTGGGAGGAGAACCAAGATTCAAACCCAGGCATTCAAATAAGGGACGCAGGTGTCACTACCATCAGCTTAATTAACAATTAGACCAAAGGCCAAACTCTGAGGAGTATTACTTAGCCAGAGACGATCACCTGAAATCTGAAACAAAGCTACAACGACAGGGGAGGAAATGATCACTCCCAGGATTTAGATACATCATTTCTCTTGATATGATTTAACGGATCACAGTCGATTGTGGGCAGAAAATTGAAGGTCTTGTCACTGACCTCTCTCATTCTCAGCCTGGTCAATTAGCTTTGGCATATCTCCTAGAAGTAAGATTTTTCACTTCCTAAGAGTTGTGAATATTGTCCATTCACAGTCCCTAACCAAAGCCCCAGTCAAAAACAAACAAAAACATTCAACATAGTTCAGAGAATTCTGGAGTGAAATAGTAAGGAGTGAAATGTGTAGGATTTAGTACTCGGGACACCTAAGTCCAAATCCCAGCTATGCCTACTGCTACCTCAGTTTCCTGAGATCCCAAATTGGTTCATCTTCTGAAGCCATAATTTTCTCCTTGAAATAATTTAGGTCTCATGGAACTCTGAAATGATTCATTTAGTTAATATCTGTAAAGATTTTAAAAGTGTATGAAATATATAACTTCTCCATAAATTATGGCTGCTATGATTTCAGGAATAAGTCAGGAATAAATCCTGGTTTTCCCCTACATTGAATATGAATTTACAAAAGTACCAATCCCAATGCCTCATGGATTTTCTTCATCTCGGAAATAGTGCTAACACTGAACTTAGTGGTTTAGAGTGAGATCAAACTAATCTAAACATATAAAGTGCTTGGTATGGTGCTTGGTTTAGAGTCAGTGTATAGGAAGTATTAGTGTATTATTTTGCTCTTCTTTTTCTTTGATATGAAAGACATCTGCTCACTACTCATAATGTGAAGAAGGATATGTACATGGCAATGAGGGAGAAAGCTGGGGGCATATTTTAATAAGACAAACTGAGTTGGGGCTAACAGTGTATGCAATCAAGTGGTTGTGGGTTCAGCCATCATCTGGAGATACTTTTAAAACAATAGGCAGTAAACTATTCTTTCCCAGGATAGCCCTAGAAAACCTCTTTCCCCAGATTTTCCCTTCTTTATTAGACTTTTCTGGAGAAATATAAAACTCTTTTTAAAAAGATGTATCTATTTATTTTTTATTCAAAAGGCAGAGTGTAGAAGTAGAGACAGAGAAGAGACAGAAATAGAGACAGAGACACAGAGAGATATAAATAGATCTTACTTATGATGGTTCATTACCTAAATGACCAGACTGAGCCAGGCCAAAGCCCAGAGCCAGGAATTCCATGTGGGTCTCCCATATGGTTGGCAGAAACTCAAAAACCTGGGCATTCACCCACTGCCTTCCCAGGTGCATTAGCAGGGAATTAGATTGGCGTAGAGCATCCAGGACTCCAACTGGCAATCCAGTATGGGATGCTGATGTTGCAAGTGTCTTAACCTGCTATGGTAAAATGCTGGTGTCTATGACACTCTTTCGATTGTGCTATTACTTTACAAAATCCCACTGTAGAGCATGCATGTGAAAGATCTCCTGCCATCCTTGAGAACCAAGGCATCCTGTAACTGGACCTAACAGAAGGAGCCCAGAAATCCATGTCCTAATGCTAGCTAATGTCAATAGGGAAGACTGGGCCTCCAAGACACTCAACTAGTGGATCTTAAAACTACAAATGAAGTTGACCTGAAAAGGAATCTGCCTGCAATCAGTAAAAGCATATCCATAAGTATTTATGTGAATTTCCAGAATGGTGCAGACTTCTTTCCTAGAAAATGAGATGTGGCCATTTTTAAATGCTTTGCCTAACTCTATATATCAAGAGATAGCAGACAAACGTTTTGTTGAAATCTGCTGAGGGGTTTTATATGTACAAGCGTGAATTTGAGAGCCAGACAAAGAAGTGTTTGAATTCTGGATTACTGGCTCTGTGACCTTTAGCAAGTCATTTAAACTCTCTGTACTTTAGTTCTTTCCCACAATATGATATTATACAGGATTAAGAGACACAGTTATATCTGACTTGACCTAATTAATTTCTATTTTTTTTAAACTTTTAATTCACTATAGTTAAACATTGGTGGAAATTCCAGATAATTGTTACAGTGTTTATTTTCCTTCCAACTACTAAGACCTGCTTTTCCCTCACCGGCTTGCTGACATAACTGCAAACAAAATGTTTGGATGTATGGGTGGTTCTATGGATAGATACAAAGGTACCTCCCGTAAACATATTATCCAAAATGAAAAGGGTTAGCTTGGCAACCCAAGTAATTTCCTAGTGCCCAGAGGAGAAACACAATTCTATGGGCTAGGGTGATCAAAAAGTCTTCATGGTAAAAAGAGGGAAACCAGACCTTGGAGCAGGATAAGGGAACAGCAAAGACACTCCATCCAAGGGGACCCTAAAGAAACTCCAAAGAGGTGGCATTTCCATCATAATCCCACAACTACCACATACTGAATAGGAAACACCCTAGACTGGGCTCCCATCTCTATATTCTGAACCAAATTTCAGATAATGATGAGAAGGAGATGGTAGAATTCCCATTTAAAACTAGGAAAACAGACTCAAATATGGGACACTTTCCCCAAGGTGACACACTAAGCAAGGGACAGAACTAGGACCTCTCTATCTATCCCAAACTTGACTCTGACTTACTACTTCTAGTAATGACAAAAGCCACTGTTACGCATGGTACCTTCCTCCCTGAAGTCTCCCTCCTTTCACCACCACACACCCTTCCCTGCATGAAGTTGCCTTTCCCTCTCCTGTGCTCCTGTTCTCTGCAGAGGTGTCTACTCAGGAGCTGGTGAACTTATTGGTCACATCCCACATCATGTCTGCTTCCCCCACTAAATGCTAGGGATGGGCATGATTTGTCCTTGTAGCATTCGTGTGCCATTCACAGCTAGTAGTAGCAGCTTTTAATATTAGTAAGGAAAAACTGAAGGAATGAATGCCTTTGGGCTTCTAGGTACTATGTCCACTGCTTGGCAAGTAAGTTAATCCTTTTATGTTTTGGTTTCCTGCCTCTAAAAATGAAAATTATTGTAGGCCGGCGCCGTGGCTCAATAGGCTAATCCTCCACCTTGCGGCGCCGGCACACCAGGTTCTAGTCCCGGTCGGGGCACCAGATTCTGTCCCAGCTGCCCCTCTTCCAGGCCAGCTCTCTGCTGTGGCCCGGGAGTGCAGTGGAGGATGGCCCAAGTGCTTGGGCCCTGCACCCCATGGGAGACCAGGAGAAGCATCTGGCTCCTGGCTTTGGATCAGCGCAGTGCGCCGGCCGCAGCACGCCGGCCACAGCGGCCATTGGAGGGTGAACCAACGGCAAAAAGGAAGACCTTTCTCTCTGTCTCTCTCTCTCACTGTCCACTCTGCCTGTCAAAAAATAAATGAAGAAAGAAAGAAAGAAAATGATTGTAATATCTCCCACTCAGAGTTCTGGGCATGAGTTTATTGTTGATACATCATGATAACATTGATGAGCACATAATAAGTGGTCAGTAAATATTAGCTACAATTATAAGCTCATTTAACTCTCCTAATTCCCTTTAAATGGAAGACTTTAAATGAAGGATTATAATCCTGACTTTACACACCAGGAACAGTTTTCAGAGAAGTCTACATGTCTTGTAGAAGATTCCACAGCAAGGAAAAAGCAGAACTTGAATATGATGCTGCCCCATAGGAGGTGCGTCTCAGATATGAGTGAGTTCACATATATCCAGGGGCCACATTGAGCCTCTTCATGTCCATTATCAGCCTGGGCTTGAACAGGGTGGATAAAACCAACACAGTGATTAAGCCAGTGTGGTCCTAGCATAGTCCAGAATCCACAATCATTTCCATGAGGCTGCCTCCTGCTTGATGGCGTTGGGATAAGGCAAGTGATGGCACCTTGGGACCAGCACGACCCCTGCTTCCCTGTTGATAAAAATCACCTGAACTTATTTTTCAACCAGATACTCCAGGAGTGTCTGAGTAAGACTCTCCACAGCAGTCAGGCTTTTTCAAAATGATTTAATTTTATTTATTTGAAAGGCAGGCACACACACACACACACACACACACACAGAGAGAGAGAGAGAGAAGAGTTCTGCCAGTTCGCTCCCCAAAAGCCCACAACAGCAACAACTGGTTCAGGCCAAAGCCAGGAGTCTGGAACTCAGGCCAGGTCGCCCATGTGGGTGGCAGGAACTCAAGTGCTTGAGCCATCACCTGCTGCCTCCCAGGGTCTGCATTATCAGGAAGCTAGAACAGGCTTGAATCCGGACATTCCTGTTTGGGACGCAGGTATCTTAACACTTCAGCTGCTAAGCCAAGCACCCACCCTGCCACGAAGAGTGTTCTTAACAAGCACTTCGGGGTGATGCTTATCATCAGGGAAGCCTGGGAACCTGGTTGGAGAGTGGCTGAGGCTAGATGAGCAGGCTGACTGTGGCCCCCACCCCACAGGTGGCAGTCACTGGAAATCAAGTCCTTACAAGGTTTTCTCTGGGCTTCCCAATATCCATGCTTGGAAATATATTCAATAGAAAGTCCCAATCAGTTTCCCTAATCACGCTCCCGCTGGATCAGTGAAGTCCCATGAGCAACCAGTGCATGGAGGCAGCTCGGGGGCTCCCTCTTGACCGTCTCCGAATCATTTTGCTCCCACACTTTTCTCCCTGGAAAAGCTGCCCAAGGGTTCTCCCTGGGGCTTTCTGAAAGGGACTGCAGGCGTCAGCCGGTAGCACTGATTTTTTTTTCTTCTCTAGCATCTAGAGAGGGGGCTGAGCTGTCTCCCGGAGGAGGCTCTGGGAGGAGAGGAGAGAGCAGCTGCTGTGGCAAAAAGGGGACATGCACAGGCTTCCCAGGCAGCAAAACTAGCGCACAGCCCTGCCCAGCCTGGCGTCCTCAGCGCGTGGAGCGCGCTGCACGCTCGAGGCAAGTTTGCTGGGAGTGTCCCTGGTCTCCACCGACCCTGCAAATTCTCCAGTTTGCCAACTGATGCTTCCCTCGCAGCTCTGAAGTCAAAGTATCCGCCGTCGCAGCACAGAGCCGAGAGGCTGGCTGGCGGTGCACTGTGGTCTGGGGGGAGCCCAGCCAGGCAAATGCCAGGATCAGCATGAGAGGCTGGACCTTGGCCCAGGTCTGTCCTCACTCCGGGGGGCCGCCGGCTTCGCACCGCGAGTCTGCGAGGAGGAGCCGCTCACTTTTCCCCCTTGCAAGTCTTTGTTGCAAGCCAGACGTTGCTGGAGTCTCTAATTAACTCCCTCCGCTCCGAAGGGGTCCGGAGGCTGGGATGCTCTGCCTGCTTAGACGATGTTGACTCTCGAGTGGGAGTCCGAAGGACTGCAAACAGTGGGTATTGTTGTGATTATATGTGCGTCTCTGAAGCTGCTTCATTTGCTGGGACTGATTGATTTTTCAGAAGGTAAAGTGGTCGCTTCCAGTCCATGCCGTTGGTCAGGTCTGGTTCAGAATTCGATGCAGAAGCTGCAGAAGTTGAGAAAGCTTAATGCCCCGAGTAAAAGTTGGGAAATATGCATGCTTGGCATAGAGCACCTTATGGACTGGACAGTTCGTTTCTGTCTACCCAGATGGTTGAGGGAAGGGATACAGTACCATTCTCGTTCTGTTAGAAGCCTGTTGAGGTGCATGTGTCTTGTGGGTTAATTAGATTTCCAAGGTGGGAAGTGAGGCCTCCGCTGTGAGGTGATAATACAGGTTGGTTTGGGACTGTCAAGTTCACATTGGCTACCACGCCTTAATGTCATTAGCAATCGCAGGCTCTGGGAGAACATTTTGATTTGTAAGAGAAATATTTGTGTGTGCCTCATCAGTTAGGAGGTGTGGGGTACGGCTGGGTTGTTGATTATGATATAAATGCATAAGCTTTTGGTATAAATTGAGTTAATGGGTGCTCAGCAAAAATGCGCTCTCAACACTTAATTTGCAAAAATGTTTCATTTACATTTCCCAATGAGCCACTTTGCTGGTTTCTCTTTCTTAGGAACTCAAACACACAGTTAGGACAGAACTGCTGCTACCAGTACGTATCTTATCCATACAATGTAAATTGTACTTTTGCTTGTTAAAATCCATTCTGTTATTTAAAGATTGGAGAATTTTTAAAAAGTTGATGAAATTTCTTCTAACAATCTTAATATAAATATGTATATGCACATGTGAGTAGATGCATCAAACAATTCATGGAAAACTGGAATTCAAAGTTTATTTTGGTGAAAATTTTTTTGAAATATATGGAGAATTATTTTAGTAATATGCATGCCCATGACTTTTCTGAAGATCTTTGGTATGCGTGGATTTCAAAAATTTTGCAACAAATAAACATCTAATTCCATTTTCCATGAACATTTTGAAGTACCATATGTGTGTATGTATATATACACATATGATAGAAGCACACATATGTACATATTTTTCATGAAATAATATCTCTACTAAAATAATATATTTTGAATTACTTAAATCATTTGATGTCTGTTCTACATCTAAGCTCTGCTTTCTTCTCAAGAAAAAGAATGGAGTCCCTGAGATACTAATATCCCTTCCAGATAAGGATTTTTTTTTTTATTGACTAGGTGTACTCTTTACGTCTCATATGATATATAGTATGGAGAGATGGAAATATTTAAACCTGGCCATGCTTCTTGTAATATAACTACAGGAGGTAGAACCTGCTAGCTAAAATGACATCATCCCAGGCACATCTGGTATATAGGTTGTTTCTATGATTGTGTGAATGATAGTCACTCTGTGTTATATTCAGGAAGTTATTTTTTCTATGAAAAAGGTTCACTAGGTTCTAACTATTCAGACAAACATAAGAACATAAAAGTTCTCATGTTTTTATATCTTCTTTTAAGTATTTTCAATCTATGACAAGTTCTGATTTGGCACAGTGAAAATAATAATGTAATGAGATTAAATAAAACCTCAAAAATGAATGTTTTTTTTTCCCTCCATATTACACAGTGATTTTCTTTATCCCCTGGAAGAAAAGCAATGTATAAACAAACTTGTCCAAGTGTTACAAAACAAACTTGTGTTATCGCAACACTTCTTCATCAATGCACTAATGCTGGTATCCTAATAAAATACAAATAAGATAAATTCCATTTCTATCAATAGTGTTTCCAAACATGTTGGCATGTTGGGTTTGGTTCTTTGGACTTAGTTGAGCCATAGTCCCCAGCTTGAATGCATTGTGCTCCAGATGGCTTCATTCCAGAGCCAGGGAGTTCTTTGAGAAGTCAACTTTCTCTGCACTCTGAGATACCATATAGTCGTTTTCTTGCCAATAGTCATGACACATAGATTGAAAGTCAAAAGTCCCAAACTCAACAGCCCTGACATGACTCAACTTTTATTGCCTAAGCTTCATTTTATGTCACTTAAACTCAAAGTTTTTATGTTGCAAATTCACATTTGCATTCCAGTTATATGAAAAATAGAATCGTAAACCTAATCGCCACCCCCACACCACAACAGTAATCATAGAATTTGAGCCAGTCTGAAGCGTCATCTTTGGGATAGATACCTAAATCATATCCATATCTGCAACCACATCCAAATATATTTTTCTGCTTATACACACATATATAGATATGCTACATACTAATAGATAGTATGTGAAATTTCCAGAGAGATGGGAACTTTCACACATTGAGTTCAATCAGAAGACCCAATTGTGATAAAATATAAGGATGCAGATGACCACCATATATAAGGTAAGAGATGTATTTATTTATTTGAAAGTCAAAGTTACAGAAAGCAAATCACACACACACACACACACATACACACACACACACACACACAGAGAAACAGAGAGACAGAGAGAGAGACAGAGAAAGAGAGAATCTGCCATCTGCTGGTTCATTTTCCAAATACTGGACTGGTCCAGTATGAAACCAGGAGCATGGACCTCAGTTCAGGTCTCCCATGTGAGTGACAGATACCCCAAGTACCTGGGCCTTCATCTTCTGCTTTGCTGGGCACATTAGCTGAAAGCTGCATCAGAAGCAAAGTGTTTGACTTAAATCAATGCCCCAGTATGGGACAAGATAGTCCCAAGTCATAGTTTAACCCACTGCACCATGACATTCACTGTGGATCAGTTATTTTTTGTTCAGAAATATAAATTAGGAAATTCTGGTTGAAACCAACTCTCACATTTTACGTAGGTAATAACTTCAACTCAAAGAAGTTAATTGATTAATCATAAGACAAAACTGACAAAATCAAAATGACTGAATCCTATACTGTGTTTGTCCTACTACATTACCAACAATTTTTCCTTTACTACTCTTTCCTAACAATATAAATAGAATAAAGGAAACATACATGGGAAATTGTCTGAGATTTTCAATGTTATTTGGAAGTGCCCACTGATGTTGTATGAAATATCTAAGGGAAATGCATTAATAAGAAATAAGATCATAGAATAGGCACTTAATTTCTACAAAGTTTTGATCCCAAACCAAGTATGGGACCCAAGAATACGACATAAACAAAGTCATACCAGTGACTGTTATCATAGATTAAAAATAGAATTAGAGGGGTGGGTGCTGTGGCATAGTAGGCTAAGCCTCTGCCTGCAGTGGCAGCATCCCATATGGGCTCCAGCTTGGGTCCCAGCTGCTCCTCTTCTGATCCACCTCTCTGCTATGGCCTGGGAAAGCAGTAGAAGACGGCCTAAGTGCCTGGGCCCTTGCACCCACCTGGGACACCCAGGATCCTGGCTTCGGATTGGCCCAGCTCTGGCTGTTGCAGCCATTTGGGAAATGAACCAGCAAATGGAAGACCATTCTCTCTGTCTCTCCCGCTCTCTGTCTGTAATTTTGCCTCTCAAATAAATAAATACAATAATGAAAAAATAGAACTCGATCAAAAGCATGCAAGGAAGCTTCATGAGTCCTTTGCCTTCTGATTTCTGCTCTGAATTTTGCTCATACACGACTTTCAGTGATGATGAATGGCCAGGCTAAGCAGAGGCCAGCAATGAGACCCAATAAGACCATGAGAATTCTGGCCAAGGCCTCTTGCCTATATATTCTCATACTATGACAATTTAAGCTCTCTGGCCACCAGACAAGTAAATGATCAGAAAAAAAAAAAAGGTGGCTGAAGACTAAGCCACAATCTGATCGTCATTCTTTCTTGGTGCAAATCATAGAAAAGGCTGACAAGGTTTTTCCCAATCTGCATTACTAAACATTGCACTAAGGTTGAACCACACAGATAATATCGGCTGTACTAAATCAGTCATTCTTTTGGTGGAAAAATGAAGACTGGGCCAAGAGCAGAACCACGAGCTTCATTTAGGCAACGTTGAGCCTCTGTGTTCTATCATCTTTAATGCTGATCAGAATTAGCCATGGATTGAAAAGGGTTAAGAGAAACAATTTTTCCATGTAAATTAGTTTTCAGTTTTCAACAAGTCCTAATTTTCCTATTTAGAAAAAGAAAATTCTTTCAATTGAAATCTAAGATTTAAGAAGCAAAGGCAATTTGTAAAGAAGATTAAAATGAGTAATGAGATTTTTATACAATGATTGAGGTTTTACACATATCCACTCATTAATGAGGAGCATGAGGAAGAATACCCACAAGATTAATCTAATCACTCGGAGGTTTAGTACGAATATATGTCATGTTAAATTCTAAATGTGTGCAAGGCCTTCCTTGTGTATAGACTAAGATGGTGGGAAAGTGGAAGGTGAATATTTAAGCTTCCTCTGTACAGCTACATTCTAGGAAGGGAGTCTAATTGCCAGCCAAGACCCACAAGGAAGCACGTGGGCGCAGACCCGAGCCACAGCCTGTAGAGGCACAGGTGAAGATGCTTCTGGAAGGGGCTCCACAGAGGCCTTCTCCACGGAGAGAGAACAGTTGTACGGCACTTTGAACCTAGAGAAGGATTTTTCAAATTGGAGACCGGGGAAAGAGAATCTCAGGCTGAGGAAGGATCTGGAGCTGTCTGGAAGCCTTGACAGGGGCAGTTTGCGTGACGAAGGGCAGTGGATTGGGTGTGGTTTGTAGGACAGGGCTTTCAGAACATTCAAACGGGAGCTGTGGTGGGGAGGTTACTGGGTGCACACTTACTCAGTGCACACTTACTCCCTGACTAGTGAAGAGCTGTTGGTGCAAAGTCTTCATTTTTGGAGAAACAAATAGGACAAATCACTGTCAGGTGAGTCAACCAGAGAGAATGTGAAGATGAATTTAGAAATAACACAGTAGAAGCAGAGACACTAATTATATTTCTATGGCAATTCAGAGGGGAGATAATAAAGGCAAAAATCTATATAATTCCCTCTCAATAAAGCACTTTGGGTGAATTATCAATCTTTAGTTTCACTAGAAGTTTTTATTTAAAATTATATCCATAGCCTGCAGCTATTCTGA